AGTAATTTATAAAGTTTAATACTTGTCATCATCTTCACACATACAGGTACACTTGTAAAATTATTTTGATACTAATATTTAAGTTTTTAAAAATTAAATTCTATTTTTTTATTTATTTCTAATTAAAAGAGCATATTTTTTCAAAATACTTTTTTATTTAAATTTTTTTATTTCTATTATCAATAATATTTAGATAATGATGACGTTTTGAGAAGATAGACAAGAATATATTGAATGTATAATGAAACAGTTTTTCTTAATATATCTTCAGAACCAATTACATCGGGAATTGATATTCTCTAGCTAAGAATTAATCGCTAGCGGCGTGCATGTTAACGTCAGATAAATTGTTAAGAAAGCGCAACAAAAAAATGCAAAGGACAATTAATGTACTAGGAACGAACTTACCATATTATATTCAACTATACTCGTGATATCTTGATGTGTCTGGGAAATCATGTTTTATGTCTATTCATGATTGTATTTAAGAATGGAATGTAAAGTTTACATTATAGAGCGCTCAACACAATTGTGCAAAGAATAATTTCTGCTGGTTTTAATTTTAATTAAAAAATACGATTATATTAATGCTTTAAGCACGTAACAAAAATTTTAAATATAAAGATTGTTTATATACATTTTAAAAAATTTTTAAACAAACACAAGATATAAAATATAAAAATAAAGAACATTAATGGCCGATAGATCGTATATCATTGGCATAAATAACGTATGCAATTCTTTTGTAGTTTTATGATGTCATAATGTTTGTCTTTAATATCATAATTACATCAAGATACGTCCCCAATTAATGGAAATGTGTCGGGTGGTCACTCCAACTAAAATTATCAGAATTGTTGTATCCTGGACTATAGCTGACGATATTTATGAGCGTAGTAACGAGCGAAACATAGGTGTTGTAACACAGTAGAAAAAGAGCTTTTAATAGAACCACAAAGGTTAAAAGCATAAAGGAAGAGAGGATCAGAACTGTACTGTATTATTACATTGTGAACAAAGTTAGATCACAATTGGTTTTGGTAATAATAACATTTGTACTTTTTCATGGTTACTCTTTTACCATTTCTCAGCTATTTCAACCAATAAGCATATCTATACATGCCAGAGCTCACTGATTTCAACATATTAACCTCCTACTGCGTAGACAAATCCCTACCAGATGGACAAACGGCTATAGATTAGGCATATTCCTTACAATTGATTTTTAAAACTAAAAATATGACACAAACTTTGATTAAATTAATATAAAATTTAGGGACTTTATATTTTTATAAAAAATTAAAATTTATCTATATAAATTCTTTATTCTAGCTATAGACTTCTCATAAATCCTATTGCAGAATTGGTGCATTGTACCAGCTATATTTCATTGAAATTTATGTTTCAAACTTACATTCTTTTCTTTTCAAAACGCAATATATATATGTATGCTATGGTAACAAATCAATCAGCACAAAAAGTCGATCAATCTCGTAAATATATTTTCTCATCTGTATAGAATTTTCTTTGAAATAGACTAGAAAGAGAATAGTCAAAAACACATCAATGCAAGGTCGTGAACCATAATGTAATAGCATCTGCAAATTTCGCCTTTTTTTAAGAATATTTATGTCTGTTTTAAGCATATTTACGACTCTTCTATTGCCTTATTCCAGATCGTCACTAAGGTTTTCCTCTTTGTAGATCCCATAACGGTATCACGAAAAACCAAACATACCTGATCTGCTAAAAGTAGATCATATATTATAACACAAAAAAGAGAGCAGACACGTAAAATAGAAAGCGATATGACCATTGAACAATAATGATTTAAAGCATAAATGATTTAAATTTAAGGAATATAAAGTACACAAATTTTTTGTAGAAACTTTGAAATTTAGGAACGAAAATACGATAAGAATAATCTTAAACTTAGAAAGAATCTTAATGTATACGCACACGTTCATTCGGCATATGTACTCGTATATTGATGAGCTTTTACAACTTATTTCTTAGAGGTTCACAAAAACAATTTAAATAAACACGCAACTGTATAGATGTGTATATAAAAAGATCTATTAATAAACTGCAAGCATATCTAAGCGAAGCGATCGTTTGTCATCGCGATTGAGAAAAACTTTATTATCCCGCAATCAGTTTCTTTGCAAGAAATACTGCAGGTGACCTCGACTTTGGTTGCAACAATCATGCTGCATTATTGCGCTCTGCAGGGTAATTACGATTAATTTTATATCTGTTCTATGTGAAGATAAAATATAATATCTATCTATAAATAATGCTGTAAAATCAATTGACGTACATAATTCTACATAATAAAAAGCTACTTACTTATTATTTTGTTATTCGAATATTTATCAAAATACAAAAGTATCTTTGTGACAAGATAAATTTTAGAACGATTCTAAATTTTAATTAAAAATATTTCTTTTTAATTTAAACTAAAATTTAATTTTAAACAAATTTTTTAATCAATCGAATTTTTTCTTAGATTATTTAAAAGTACAAGTTTTAAATTTAATTATAAACGATTGAAAATAAAAGTTTATTCGCAAGATAAGCTAATTAAAAATATAATTATTTCACAAAATAAATATTTCGTTAAATTGTAATTAAATATTAATTTAAAAAATTTTTCAAAATTTTAAATTCAGAATTTTATATTGAGATGTGAAGAACTGTAATATTAAATATTAAAAGCTTGTAAAAAAGATATATTTGTAAGGTTTATTCAAATCAAAATCAAAGATTCCGTAAACGACAGTTTTTTAATAGATACAAATGCAATAGTGAATGAATGTCTCGGCTTTCTTTGCAAAATGTTCGAAGAGTTCTGTATCATTGACGCTTATTATCGTCGATTGTTCAGTGAAAAAAGGAAATAAGCGAAAAATATCATCGAATAAAGATATAAGTAGATTGTCTTACATACATCAATAGCATGTATCGGCGTGATATAAACAAAACTGCATATCGCATTCGTAGCATCATAGATCGCCTGCATTTACTATTGAAGGGAGAGAGAGCCGACGGTCGTGCTGGATAGTGATGGTGGGGATACCGGCAGAAGGAGAAGAACAAGCAACCGAGAAGAGAATCCACTAACCTAGTGCCTAGTCGCCTGGTGGTCTGCAAAAACAAAAGAGATGTGTGTGCCACGTGCCCTAGGCGCCACTGATCTCCGATATCTCGCGATTAGCAGCGGTACTTGCAGCGATAACGCAAGTTTCTTCGAGTAGCTTCGACGAGAGGGTGGAATTGTAAATCGCGATGCGAAGTTGTTAATAATGAAAAGGACGGAAAAATGACAAAACATTGAATCAAAAGATGCGAAAACGTCACCGTGTAGAGACATCTTAAGCTTATTACTTTCTGCTAAAGGTTAAGGCTAACTGTGGTTTAACTCGAGGTTTAGCTGTAACTAATAATTACGGGTAAATCAAAGCCCATAAATATATTCTTAACCTATGAAAATATCTCAGTTTCTATAGATAGATAGAATTACTTGGTGCATCTTCGATAAAGTAAGACTGTGTTATATCATAATCATGATATACTTGCCACGTGTAGGAGATATATACGTCTCTTGTGTTTGACATAATTCTGCTTGTTCGTACATCTCTCATAAGTTGTGAAGATCAAAGAATTTGAGTATTTCTTTATTGAATATGTAATATGTATTAGAATAAAGGAATCGATAGTCTCTCGCTCTCAAAACGACCAAAAAGGCAGCAGGGTAAAAGAAAGAGGGCGGAAAAAGAGCATCGCATTTAGAAATGACTCAATCATAGAAAGTCGAGAAGTCGTTCACGGACAGCGAAATAGTTGTATTGCATTATCCTTGAAGGCCGACACAAAGGAAGCGGTGAAGGAGGTGACGGGACAAAAAGGGCTACCGTCAACGCTCGACAGCTTATTTCATATTTTTTATTTTTCTCGCACTTATCATTTTTGTTGTACAAAGAAAAAAAGAAAAACAAACAGCTACGAACTACCTATAATTCGCACGAGAGCGGAAGGAAAAATTAATTTAAGAGAGACAGTTTTCGGAATTACACACACACGCACGCACACATACATACACACACACATACATACACACTCACACACACACACACACACACACACATATACACATATATATATATATATATATATATATATATATATAAAATTTCGTTACCAATGCCGTGGATCTTAGTCGGGGTAACGTTCAGACATACGGCGACAATTGCAGTGATTCACGATTAATAATAGAAACTATTGACGCGCTCTTCCGAACGTGACCTCAAGTAACGAACTCTTATCGGCCTTACGGATCGTTGCGTTCCAATAGGGAAAGGTCACGGGGATCATGACGAGGAGAGATATATAATACGGTGTCGAATGCGCGGCGATGATCGCGGTCGATCGCGAGCATCTCGATTATCGAGGTGTCGATTTTCCTCGAGATAAAAGGTACAAAAATATATATTTATTTATACTATATGTATATATATATCTCTTATCTCTTTCTTCGCTTCTCCTTCAGTCCCGCTTGTCTCTCACACACGCATTTGTACTAAAAAAAAAAAGAAAAAGAAACACTCGCATCCTTCCCCGTGCACGCATGCGTGCATTCGCCTCTTTACTTGCTAAAAAGAAAACGCGCATCTCCGACTACCTCCTCCCGCCCGCGTTCTCGCTTTCATACTCGCCATCCCCGTAGCGGAACTCGGCGTCTTAACGAAAAAGAGTCGCGAGAGAAAGAGTCCCGAAACACTTAACGAGTAACAATGAAAAAAAAAAAAACAAGAATAATATTAATAATAATTGAATAAAGATGATAATAATAATACAATAGATTAATGATAAAAATAATAATGGTAAAAGATGATAATAAAAATTAGAATAATAATTAAGGAATAAAAAATAAAGACAGAACGCGAACGTTTACCTATGTGCTACTCGATCGTTGTGGTAATTAAGAGAAATACGGTAACTCGTACATATATACGTAGGTGAAGAACACGCGCTCCAGCTCGCGCAGAAGCGCGGCTAAGCGCTTCGGTCGGTGTTGGTGTGTGTGTGTGTGTGTGTGTGTGTGTGTGGTGTGTGCGCGCGCGCGCTCGTACGTGCTCGTGTGCAAGAGCGAGTTGCAATGAGCTCGAGCACCAAGCGAGTCGATATATGCGAGGAATGCAAAGTACGCGGTCGTCGTGGTTCGAAACGCGCGAATCGCGCGTTACGACATAGCCGACGGAAAGAAGTTATGTGTAACAATGCGCGACCAACGTATGCACTGCGATCGCTTCCTGATAATAATTGTAAAGGTGTCTGATCGATTTCGCGCGGATTCCCGAAGGACACCGCCATACGTCGCACAAGCGCAAACGATCAGTTTGTTGGACATTCATGTATCTTCTGTGTAAACGGTGATTTCCGCGCGTAAATGTTATCTTTGAGTAAAATCCTCGATTTCGGAAAAAAATCTTCATTTTTAAATTCATTATAAACCCGTAAACAACGGTAAAATTTATTTAAAAAATACATTAAAATTTTGAAAACTGGTCCGGAAATTAGATTTTGATAGGCGAAAATGGCATGCTGCATTTATCGCAGCTAGTGTATTGATTTTTCGTTTTAAATTTGTTAATCGGATACTTAGGCAAAAACTAATAAACTTAATTGGAAATTTTCAATGATTTCAACAATAGTTGTTACCAATTATGTTTAAATATTATAAATTATTAAAATAATGTATACTTAAAAAGGAGCAAATCCTGATTCTCGTTAATTTTTCTGAAATTCGTTAAAGTTTGTTGTTTAATTTCAATTTTTTTCAGCGCAGTATGTGTAATATTAAAAATCATTGAATATAAAATTCTGTATAAATGATTCAGACTGATCTTATTTACAGTAGCAAAGTGATTTAATATCTCGTCTAAATTTATCTGCATAATTCTCGGTAGTTTATATAACGTGAATACTAAAGAGCCACGCCAAGAGAGGAAACGGGATTTTCCTAATCAATTCTGTTTACTGTTTTTCCAATCAGTATGTGTGCTGCCCGACGATATCATCGACATTTGAAGTAATAGGAAAAAGATATAGTAACGGTGATCATATTAGTCGTAACAATGTTGATAGCGTAGCGATAACGGTAACAGCGCGTTGTTGTGCGCGCAAAGTGTCTCGATCAGTGACAGGCAGTATAAGTAGCGACTAATAATAGCAACAGCAGTGATAATGAAAATAAAGCGATATTGAAAAGTTCTTTTGGCGATAGGCCCAAGTATTACCCTTCTTGTGACAGCCGCGTTTCACTGCGTTTCCGCGTGACCACCGTGTCTTAACGCGCTTAACGCACAATATATAAATTTAAAAAAATAGCATCTTCTCGGGATTATTACATCGGCAGTGTACGGCGGTGCGCGGAACATTCGCGAATATCAATAGAAACAAACATGATCCCTCCGGAGTGTCCGTATTTGTCGCCCTCGAGAGTCGCGGTGCGTGTCTCCGCGAGAGACCGAAATGAAGAAAGAGATGGAACGACTAGGTGGCGAATTTCCATGGCAGTGAAAAGTTTCTGATCCTTCCATTCTCGAATAGACTTCATTGTCCTCGTCGTCGGAAATGAAAACGATGAAGTTATACTCGACGGCAGTGGTGTCGTTGCTGGTTGATTCCTGAAACAGCCAATAAAAAATGGCTCTATTAATTCAAGACTCATTAATAATGCAGGATTAGATTGTACGTAATACAAGATATACGTATCATAAATAGAACGGTATTAGCATGGCGATTAGCATTTGTTCAGGATTACGTCTGCTCATCGTATTCTACTTATTTATGTATATAAATAGATCGCAATAATAGTATATCGCCGTAGCAACAAAGTATCTAATCTTAATTTTTATTTCTCAATATATTTAGTCGATGTAAGTGCAGGATCATCGGCTATCGGTGCAAGTAAATTACAATATTACACGTTAATATTCTGCGTATCGGTGTTTGTTAATACCGCGAATAGGAATAATTCAAAATGTGACAAAACTGGTACATTCACGGAGGGCGCAGCGTAATACAGAAGGTGCAGAAGTGGGTGGTGCGCCGGAATGGCAGGGGGAGAAACGAGCGGCGGGATATTCTGATCTCAGCGAAGGCCGCCTAGTGCATTCTATAGGTGAACAAAAACTGCATAGGAAACCACGCCCTGGCAAACGCCGATCGCGTATCCTCGGGGACAATTTGCCGGTAACGCGAGAGAATACATACACATATCCGCATAGCATCGGCTGCTGCGCGAGATGCGCGCGTCTAACAGCGCGAGAATCACTTGCGCTTCCATTCATTCGCGCGTGTCCGCGCGCTTCCTGCAGCCTCTCGCGCGTTCGAGAGTACGCGCTCGAAATGGAGATAACACTATGAAGCGTATGTAACAGCACGCGATTTAGCCGGTTCGCATGCGGCGCGCGATAAGTGGATTGAAATGCGCGGATACGCGTCGCTGTATGCACACGTGTACGTGAAACAGCATGTGTACGAAGACGTAAAACAGACGGCCCGAGTGACCCGCTGGCTACCTATATCCTACCTACTTGAGGCCGACCACCTTCCCACCATCAGCCTACCTGTCTACGCCTGTGTGCGCTCGCTAGGTGGATAGGCGCGCGCTTTATCGCTAATCGATATAATATATCTTCCGGCTGGTAGAGTACAACGAGTATAATATGCGCGCTCGCGCGCGTCGAACGACCTTCGTGACGATTTCGCCGAGGTCACTTTATTCGCTCGATCTTTTTTTTTCTTGCCGCGCGTCGTTACGGAGGAGTGAAAGAGAATTCGAGGAACAGAAAGGTAAAGCCGAGAACTATTGTAATTGCAATGCAGACGTATCGCGACAGAGTCGTTACGATCGACAGATTCAGGAAACGGAATCGCGCAGCTGCAACGACGGCAAAATATCAGTATGACAGAGGTTGTACGAGGAAGGAAAATTTCAATTAATAATTCGTATAAATTCCCATACTATGTAGTTTGCGCAAGTTTTCATAAAAGATTAAGTTTTTTTAGAAAATATTAGCGACTGAGTTTAGATGGAACTAACGAAATTTCGCACGTATCCCTTTTGAAGAATTAAAAACACAAATTGTATTCAGATGATTTGTAATTGCTTCTCGAATATTTTGTAATAAAATATAAGGGAGAACGTATTTTCTTTAGCTTCTTGCTTGGTCTTTTGCTAAAAATCTCCAAAGAATACTTGTGAGACTTGGAGTGTATTACCCGCCTCCGGCTCAAAAGAGGACGTCAGTTGTCTAAAGTAGACGCGTTGAACCATCGTCGTAGAAACGGTTATTCGAGAGCGAAGGGTTTCACTTACACTTTCCAACTCGGTTATTTCTGGGCCAAGTTCGACCGAAAATGTGTCATGCAACGCCAGTTTGCTCAGGAGAAAGCAGACTCTCGAGTCTCGAAGAAGCGACGGCGACGGCGACGGCGACGGCGACGGCGACGGCAGCGGCCGCGGCCGCGGCCGCGGCAGCAACGGCGCTAGTGAGACCTAGGCCAAGATCAGCTAACGTGGAGAAAGAGAAAATAAGGGGAAGCGCAGGTACGATCGCTCCCTCTCCCTTCTTGCACTCACACGCGCGCGTGCACGCGTGCACGCGTGCGAGGGAGGGTCCAAGGCGGGCAAGAGAGGACGGAACGAATGGCCAGGCTTGGGTCCGTCGGAAAAATAAAACTAGGCAGACCAGAGTGGAGTCCGTTAGACCGCCTCCTGTACTCTCTCTTTTTCCCTTTGCGTTCTCTCCTCCCTGGGCGAGAGCGAGAGATAGACCGCGGTCTGTACACGCGTACATGCGTCCGCACGCGTATGCGTGTGCACGTTGACGAGGGAAAGAAAGAGAGAAAAAACTTAACCTAAGGCACGAGAGGAGTCCGTGGCTCCGGGCATGGCGCTGCAGTTTGCCCCTGAACTTGGTTCTCAGACTCGCCCGACTCAATGTTGACCCACTTTCTTGTCTTTACTTCTACCCGGCCGTTGTGTGCACCCGCCGGCGCCGAGTGCTCCGCACTGATTTTCTCACATCGCGACCTAGACTAGACTATTCGATTGCATTTCGCTGCTCTAGATACGTACGCGGTGCACCGATCGGTTCACTCGCGTGACGCGGATCCCCCGTAATTGCCACAAGCCGACTCTGCTCGGCCGTCTCTGCGTATCCTCTAGGAAGCACTAAGCACTTCGTCAGCAATGAATTTTTCGAGACGTGACGATAATGCTTTCACTCATCCTTGTCGCTCCTGTAGAATTTTCATGATCGAGTGGAATCAAGTCGAGCGCACGTATAATTGGTGCGTGTCGTTCACGAGGGCGTTATATCGCCACGTTATCCTTGCACAGATAAATGCGACACGGACGTGAGACACGTCGTCTATCGCAGAGCCGCCTAGACGGCCGTGTCAGACTCATCGGATTAGACGTGGCAATGTATAAGTACCGAGATAATCGTTAGTTTATATAACAAGTCATTTCCCGCGGCCACGTGATTTTCTCGTCAAGGCAATCCGCTCACCATCACCGACGCCGACGGCACTTCTATCACCATAGACCGCGTGCGCTACCGCACGCGAGTACAATTGCTCGCAGGACCTCCGTACAGTCTGCCTCGGTTGGAATGCCCACATGGGAATATCGTCATGATTGGCCCATTTTCATCCGCAGACACATCCGTAGTCATTGACCATAAATATATGTCAATTATCACAACAAGGATCACTGTAATCGTCAAGGAAGTATGCCGTGATTGCTCATTTTCGTAGCATTAGTGGTTCATTTATAATAACTAATAAGTTATCAGTAATTATAAAAATATTTGTTACATTAAAATATCTTTTCATAATATTATAAATACCAATAATATGTTGAAGTAACATTCAATTTGTGTAAGAGACACAATAAAATTACTTTGCGTCTACTTTGATTTTAAACTGCATAAAATGATTTTATTTACACGATGTTTAAAACTTTAACATTTAAATTCACAGATTAACAAATGTTAAAATAGTGATAAGTATAATTTTGTAATATCATACTTCAACAAAATCTAGAATGAGACATAACATAATTACTAATTATGTCAAACAAATTTTAAAAATAAAATCAATCTGTGTCTAACATTTATCTGTACGATATTTCTATCAATAAATAAGTTATTTAATTTTTTATTCTTATGGGTCTTTTCGTTGCTTTATTTAAATTCAAATTACTTAATTTGTAGTATCTCGTATTCTGAAAATTTTGTTAACTAGCGAAATTTCTGTTCTTAATAGATTGGAGCATTAACGATGGAGCACCAACACGTGTGGTTAAAGAAGCATGAAGTTCAGCGGTGCTCCGCCGTTTGTCTTGAAGGGTTTAAAGCCGATTCCGCGGACTTGGTCTTCGTAGGTGTTGCGAGAGACCGATGCATTCCATAGAACGCCGGTAATGGAACGCTAAAGAAGCTGCTGCTCGAGACCCGTGCGCCGCGAGAACGAGCTAAAGAGAGAGGAAGAGAAAAAGAGAGAGAGACGGAAAAAGAGACAGGCGCAAAGAGAACGAAAGAGAGAGAGACGAAGATAAAGACGGTGCGCGAGGGTGTGAAGGAAAGAACAGGACGAGAAGAAGAAAGAGAGAGAGAGAGAGAGAGAGAGAGAGAGAGAGAGAGAGAGGCAGGGAGAGAAAGAGTCGAGGCAAAGGTGGTCTTACCGCCGTAAATGCCACTGGTTGGCATTATGCCGCTTGCTTGGTCAGACCTTCGATGCATCGAACACATCCTAAGATGCCGCCTGATGATGAGTGCCTAGTATAATCGTGATATCGTTCTTTCACGGGACTATCGGGTGCTTCGAGGGAATTTCGTGTTGCACGAGCTACAACGACGGCCCTGGCCCATTTATCCTTAGGCTTAACTGGCGTCGCTCCATGATGCAGACGATATTGGCCTTTCGGAAATTTTTTTGCGCCCGCTCGCTTACTCGCGGATGGTTAAGTGCGACGCGCGAGTGCTCGTGCGCTCGCTCGAGAAAGGTCGGCGGTTATCGAATGAGAAGATTCCTTTATCGCGTGAATAGCACACTTCGAGCCGAACGTAGATGGCTGATGGCGTGCTACCGCGAATATACACTGAGAGATCGACGATGCAACAGGCTCAAGACGTAGATAAATCCGACATCGCACTGGCGACACAATTTTCCTCAATCCCCGTCACGGATCGTCGATCTTTGCTAGATGGAGAATGTTATAATCGGCTCAATGGCGAATACGATAGCGCAAGGTTGAGCATTATGCGCGATGCACGTTATGGTGACATCGTTATGAGTGGAAAGGAAATATAGGATTTTTTAAGAGTCGGCCCGACGCGATGAACTGCAAAGAAACTCGGGGGAATCCAAAGAATGTTGAATTAAAACCTCTTTGCCCCGGTTTCGTCTGGCTCATCGAGCGTGATCTTGGATAGGACAGCTTGATCGCGTGTTATTCTCTAGCCAACTATATGACTATAAACGGCCACGCGGCAGTACCCCCGGCTCCCATAGGAGTAGACAAGTCCAAGTAGTAGATATCTCGTAAGGTGAACGAACCTCCGAATCTCCTGGACATGAGAAAAAAAGAAAGAGAACCGCCGAAAAAAGAGGCGACCACAGCGGGAGAGGACGGAGTAGGTAACGAGGGGGAGGAAGCAGAGATGGCCGAGAAGAAGAAGGAAGAGGAGGAGGAGGAGGTTATGGTATTGGAGAAGAAGGATGATCATGGAACCTCGCTATAGAAAGAGATAGGAAGATGATTGGAGGGGAACGACGAGAGCAGCCGGCATCTACGATCGTAATGCCGCGCGATCTCCTCTCGCGCGTCGTAGAAACGCATCTTTATGTATTATCTGTGTTGCAGCCCAAGATGTTCCGCTAAACCGATAATATTGCGCACTCGTTCAGCACGCTAAACGAGAATATCGTGATTTAACGCGCCCACCCCGACGTTAATTGCAACCGAGTCGATTTATCCTATTATCACCGCAGTTTATGCCGCAATGTCGACCGTTGAATGCCAACCGTCCCGTATACAACGGCGTTTTTCATACGTGATAATGTTGCCGGGCAAGTCGACCACGTGTCAGACACGTGCGACGATGTTTATCGGATTATTCGAAGGAAGTATTGCTCTGAAACGTTCCAAAGGGAATTGATAAGGTGATCGTCCATCAAAGATTAATGTTCGGAGGAATGTGATGAGATGCCAAATATTTTTACAAAAATATGTAATATAATGTGTATGTATATATATATATATATATATATAATCCGTATCCACCATATAAAGAATTTGTAAAAGATATTGAATATAAATAATTTTATCAATTTGCTTTTAAACCGTTTATTTTAACACATTGAGATAAACGCAACATTAAATCACACATTTCTCAAACGCGATCGACAAAGAATTAATTGGCCCTTCGAAAGGAGATTGAAATGAGAAATGCATGCGAATTGATTTTGACCGATCACCAAATAAACTCCGCCTTAATTTTTCATTTACTCATCGAGGAAAGTTCGCGTACGTACACGTGGATCGCGACTGCCACCTTCACGTATCCGACCACGTTCACCAAATTCAAATATGAGAATAATGCCATTGTTATGCGTGATACGTTGCTCGCACAAAAGTCTGCCTGCCAAAATCCACGAGCCCTCCTGGGTTCGATAGCATCACGGTGCCTTGTTCTAAACCACGACCGATGTGTCACGATCGCGGAACGAGGAGTACGATTCGGAACGCCTATTACTGCGGGGAGGGGGGGGGACGCAAGAGGGAGGAAGAAAGACGGCGGTGCGACACGGGAAGAGAAACCGCGCGTTCGAGTAAGAGAGAAATGAAAGAATGTGCGAGTACGTGCGAGAGTAAGAGAGAGACGATTGGCATGCAGGTCGCGCGGTATGTTGTCCTAGGTCACGCGTGATCTCTCTCCTTCTTCCACCTCTCCCTCTCTCCCCTGTCATTCTATCCTCATTCTTCCTCTTTTGCTCTCTCGTCTCGGTATTTCTGTACAGCAGTAGCAGCAGCAGCAGCAGCAGCAGCAGCAGCAACGGCAGCATTTGTACATTCTATCTCCGTAGTTTCTATTTGTCTATTATTCTGGTAATAAGATCGTACGGCGAGGCAAATATTACGATGGCGAATAAACGGAAGCGGTTCAAAATTACAACCGGCGACGGCGCCTCCGGTATACGCCGCATTAAGTATAAGGGAATGGGGTTCTTCTCTCTCTGTCTCTCTCTCTCTCTCTCTTTCTTTTAGCAATGCGCACAACACTATTGTATCCAAGTATTACGCGAGTAATATTGATTATCTCAAGTTTGCGTGCGTTTGAGCATTCATGCCGATACCTGATCGTATATGACGGTACGAAATATGTTTCGTTAACATGATAAATATACTATCTGTCATATACACTCGTCACTCTGATTCTTCGTACAACGTATATACTACAATTCATTTCTAATTAAAGAAAAAAGAATAAAATACATTTATTCTATATAGTTTTGGAAATACAATGCAGTACATCTATCTTTTAATGTGCAAATATTCGTCGAGTAATCACGGCAAATTGCCGCACTGCTTTTGCATACACTTCGCGCGAGAGCTAACGAACGGTTTGGGGCGCACCCGGAAGAGGCTCATGTATGCGGGTCGCACAACCGCGCAAAAGAAAACTTTGAAGAATCTGCCCACGTCCGCTCCCGATTGAGTCGAGCTCGTCAAAGAAATCGCTTTTATTTTTCACGAAAATTAACGCAATTCCCTCGAAATTCTTGCAAGGATCGAGTTGATTTGTTCGCGAATGCGCGAAAAAAAAGACGAATCGCGGCATATCGCGACTCATTTCCGCGAAACCTAGGGGATCCCTCGAAACGGTCATCGAGGAGGAAGAGGCACGGTGGCTGACCGAGCGGACTTGACTTGAGCGAACGGACGAGCGAAGGAACGATCGCTTATTCCTGACGAAGAGGGCACGATCGACGGTGTGTTCGCGCGAGCGAGACGGTGAATGCCCAAAACTCAGGTGGTGTCAATGAACTCGGCCATGTGAGGAGTCGACCGAGGCCTCCTCCTCGGCTATACTCACTATATCGGGGTCTTGTCTTTCCCATGGGACCGAGACTAATTTCGTGACTTTGCGAAAGCGACGCGACGTGCGTACACGCCCGCGAGTTGATAATGCCGAACGCGACTGATTTCTAGAACACTTTTCCAGGATTTCTCTACTTTGTACGATTATATTTGGCGATGAGACACGTCACCACACGCATAATTGCGTCGCGTGCCGAAATGCCGGATATTTGCACGATACTGTTTAAATATCGTTGTTAAATATCGCGTAAGTAATTATAAAATAAGTTGTGCAAGTTGTATTTATAATAATTCTGAAAATTTGCTAACAGAATATTTTAATGCCAAAATTTATTGAAAACTTTATATGATAGAAAAGATTATGTGAATATATCGTTAAATATATCGATAAATGGATAAAGAAAAAAATTGTAGAAAATTTCTTAGCTACGATTTATCAGACAGAGAGATATATGCATATACGGTTTATTCTAAAATATTTTATTGGATCTATTTCAAATAACAAAGGAGATAGCCGATCGTAAGTTAGACGATCGCAATTAGTTAGGCATGATGATGCTACAGCTCGTCTAATTACATGCCGGAACATATTCGGGTCTATGTGCCGGCGGTAATGGCGAGGTGAATGGTCTAGACTGACTCCCAGAGGGGCACCTGCTTGTAACCGCGACAAGAAAACCGGGTAGATAAAACGCGTATCTGCGTGAGATAGCCGCCTCATACTCTAACGTTAAACCTCACGTCTGTCAAAATTAGACAACCAGTAGTAGCCGCGAGGATCTCCTACCTCATCGATCTCGATCGGATCACGGTAGCCAATGGGTTGCAAGCAAAGCTTTAGGTATCGATATAGGATGATGTGACGTAATGTTAAGGAATCACAAGCGGTCCTACTTCACGTGAGTCTCCTCCTGCCCTGTTCCTCGTGGCGTTCCTCTTAACTGGCTCCCTCCTTCTTTTGGATCGTCGGTCATGCGCGGGTCATCTTTGAAGAAGTCTTCCTCCCTTCTTTTGCAACTTCGACGCGACCACGGTTACGGCAAGAAGAGAAGGTAAATCGGAATGAGAAGGAGCAAGGCTCGCGGAAGTGGGAGAGGGTTGACCGCCGAAAGAGAAGTTCGCGAGTAGTCACGACCTGATCACGAGCTCGAGCGGAATCACTGCCATAGATTATGTAACCATGGCGAACATGTGCGAGAATAGACAAGTTATGTCGTAATTGAGGCAGGCTATCTAATAACGCTAGTATAACCGAGGCAGATTAATCGAACAATTGCGAGCAAAACTGTCGCGTGATGATCTATTTTTGCATCTAACATTAATTCTGATTAAGTAAGACAAGAAGTACTCACCCTGTACGTAGGCAGATTCGGCATCTTCAATGACGTTCCACATTTACGAGGAACGTCCGATGTCGTCCTTTGCGAATATGAATGCTCCATCTCAGTCTCCTTAGGTTGGAAGATGAGACTTCCTCTCTTCCTCTCACTTCTTCCATCATCGATAATATCGATTTATGAGGATGTTTCCTCCGAGTTTCGGAGGCGTTGATATTTTAGTACTGTCCAGTCGGATCGAGACCTCCGGTAGCAGCCATGTCGCGACCTTGAGATATCTCTCGGGTCTCCTTCCTATAACTTCCTCGATTCTTCTGATCCTTTCTTCACCTTTTCAATACTGACCGGTTGGATCGAGTCCAGCCATGTTGCACAATTTTAATTGAAAGTCAATCGAAAGCCTTCGGAGATATGGATATATAAACAGTCTTGAGAAATGCAGTTATATTCGACGGCACTTCAGTATAGACCCGTGGGGTCCAATCCTCCTGCTGCCATGTCGACGATAATGATCTTCAACAACACTGAAAGCGGAAGTATGTAGTTGCTCGATCGCGGAGAAAAACGTCTTCAGTAGAGACCGGTGGGGTCCAACTGCTGAGCCATATCTTCTTACTCGGCTCCCTTGGATAGCTAGCAGAGCGTTGCAGGCACTTCTGACACTTCTAGTATCGTGCGATCCCGTGAAAAACGGCGGCTCCTGAAACGTCCTGAATTATCGGAAATCTTCAAGACAATCCCGTCAAATGAAGTGACGGTACGCGAACGGAACGATCGTCGATGTGATCCACGAAATGGTCCACAGTTTCAAATGTTGCAAATCGATCGGGAAAAACGGTAAGTAATTCGCAAGGAATATCGCGCGATCCGGAGACGACGATCGACGAAGTGGACGCTACCGGAAAAACTGAAGGGACCAGCTGCTGTGTGTGCGTGACCGTGCCCCACAGAGCTCTGACAGCTCCACGGCGAGTGGCCTCGCTTAAGTCTCGGCTGGCCCCCACCTGTCCGACTAGGGGCAACAGCGATTGGCCGTTGCTGCCGGCTACAGCGGCAATTGGCACTCCGACCGAGCTTTCGGAAAATTTCCCCCGATATATCGTTCGGTCCATAAGTCCAACCCCCACGTGTTCGCACTGGGCCTCACGTGGGGAGAAAAGTGGGATCTGCCAGACCAAAGGAAGGGAGAAACTCTCGAAAGAGAGGAGGTTCCATCCAGAGGAATTTTTCGAGTCACAGAATTAGTCGTCAACGGTAAATAATTACTGGTTAACATGGGTTATCAGAAAATATTTGAAAATCCGAATATGTCAACTATATACAATCTGTTACTATGTAGATTTGTCCAGAAAAGGGACTGTTTCTTTCGGGCTGCAAGTAAACGAAATATATGGGTCGCGAAACATATAGAATGTATAGAATTAATTTAGAATTTTTTCTAAAAGAATAATGTATAATTTACAGTAATATAAGCTTAATTTAAATACTTCCAATTGTTGCAGTTTTTGCTAATAAAAAATTCGGTTTAATTTGTTACTTGTACAAATACTATATTATTATAATACTATGTAAAAATGTTTTAAATTTTAAATATATTGCGTGCGTTGAAGCTATTTCATTATCAAAGCGTTGGCGGAACTGCTACATCGTCCTCTAACACTATTTCTAGTGTGACGTTAGGTAGTGGGATGGATTCATTGACCTCACGCGAAATCGATCGAGAAGTTATCATTTTAGAAATCATGTGTTCGAGTTATATATCATGAAGCTAACGATTTTCCTATACAATTTATATGACTATAGTATATTATGTATTTTTCTACTATTACTGTTTTACGAAACAAGTAAAATTAACAAATTTTACAGTCTCTTAAAAATACATATGTTATTATAGAATTATTACATTTCCATTACTGGTCGTAGTTAACATTCTGAATTGTTATAAATAAATGTTGTAGTGACCCATAAAAAATTTATTGTATTTCTAATATATAAATACTTGTGTTAATCCTAATACATTTTACAATAAGAAAATTTCTGCTTATTAACTGACATATCTTTTCTTATCGTATTGGTTTCATTTATTTAAAAAAAATCGCGTTTATCTATACAGAATTGTAAAAGTAACCATGGCAATTTCTAAAACGTTTGTATTATTATTAAGCGGATTCAGAACATGGCCTACAGAAGTTACTTCTTACAACTCAACAGCTGCAACGTGTTCCCTCGTTTGTGCTGAAGGCATTGCCCGGTAGGCCGGTTTGTCGTCATTGTTCATTCTTTATATTCTGCCATTATATTCTAATGATATGAATTTGAATTCAGTAAGATAAAAGTTTTAGTAGCAATATCGTGAAAATGCTCAACTTAATGAAGTATCATTTAAATAGAAATTAAATAGAATTGATAAATCAAAATGCTTTAATTTATGGATGTTTATATAATAAAAAATCTCTTTCGGTAAGAAATTATTGCATTTTAAAAACGTGAAATTAAAGAAAGTAAATTACTTAAAAAATAATTTTATCAAGTTTTGTCGTTTGAATGTGAATCGCAAAATATCAAATTACTGATTTGGAAATTTCTAAAAGTAAAAAAATATTGTTAACATAACGGAAGAATACTAATATTGCATTAAAATTAATTAAATAATCGCAATTTAAAAATATTAATTAATATTAGAAATATCTATAATGTATATCTTGAAAATATAAATAGAAGACTAATTAAAATTATATTTCGATAGATTCTTTGATAAGAGTTTTCCGCGGAAGGAAAACACGAAAGCAATGTAATATCTTACGGGCGGAAGATCAGAATCCCGTTTTTCACTGATATCAGTATAATGTGCACGTACTTTTTTATGCCAGTCTTCAATTTAATCTAAATGCGATCGAAAGAGTTTATCCGCAACATTAGTTTAATACGTACTAACCGGTCCCGACGTCATTGCTCGCGCTTCGCAAAATCTCTCGTTCGTTGACGGGTGCTCGCTGCATTTGGAACGAGGGGGACAACTCTAACGGAATGAGAAAAGACGCCGTGCGCCGGCGTCTCATCTGCCGATACAAATTAATGCACGGTCTAGCTTATGGCCGTTTGGATACCTAGATACGCCACGGCGGTACTTGTGCAGATTGTAGTTTGTCGTCCGTCGTCGCTCGCGGCTACGACTTCGTGTTACTGGGATAAAAGGTGAATGACTCGTTGCTACTTGGTACTCATCCCACCAACAGCATCTCGCTCTACGTTTGGAGGGGTAGCGCGTCCTTCTGCTATGCCCGTGCGCGGTAGAGACGAGTAAAATGAGAGAGAAAGAGAGGCGAGGAAAGATAGATAGAAGAAGATCGAAAAAGGAAGAGAGAAAGAGGTCGATACGGTGATCATAAATTACTTGATCATCCTTAAGGTTCGATTTACCGGCCGCGTGCATCTCCTTGTTACACCGCGACGTCATCAAGCCCACTTTCGAGAGGAAATATAGATCTGAGCAGTGTTTTCATACGCACACTTCCTTCTTTGATTTTTCACGCACGATTTTTATCGCACATAAACCGCGCGGTCGAATATTAATTAGTGTTACATTTGGCATTAGTAAATAAAGGACAAAATACAAACATGCTTTCTCGCATCGTCAATATGTGTCACGAGTGTAAGTTTGGACATTTCAATCGTCATCGTACAATCGAAATCGGCTTTCATCGCTTTAAATAATTTTCACATGAAAATTATAAAGTGTAGTGATGCATACTTAATATCCACGATTGTAGACTTGACATTGATGGACATCTCAAAGTATTAATAAATTGTACGAACAAGATAATCACAGCCTCCTTATGTTGTTATCTCGTAATATGCGTGCGTCTTGTACATCATTGAGGATATTATCAAGAATCGTGTAAAGTTATCTATTAATCCGACATGTGATCAGATATGCACAATACATTATTGTTCATACGTATTATCTCATTAATATAAATATCAAGTAAAGAAAGCGGCAGTTAAAATTCGGTAGCATATGATAAAAGTTTAACGACAATCACATATTTCGAAAGATGCGATTGAACGATTGATTAGCGTTAACTATTGTTTGTAATCTTCATACATTAAATACTTGTCACTGTCGATATTAAATATCTGATTTTTTTAATTGTATTTGAAAGTATTTTTTAATGAGCCATTTTGAAAATAATGATTATCCGTTGAATTTACGGCGAAGAAGATGTCAGTAGCCGACTCTTGCAGCAATTCAGACACTCTTTTTTTTCTACTGCGTTGTGCTTCTATATGCCAACGGCGATTGTGCAAGATACGAACCTGCCTACGTACCTATCGAGGTTTGCGCAACAGGCAACTTCGAAACGCCGTCCTGTGATGTGGATCTTCTCTTATACCTAAGCACGCAACATCAATGGATTTAGCGCAGTAAATTCAATCGACTAGATGGTTCCAAAAGACTTTTCTGAATTCATCATTTTTTGGTAAAATATCGTATAATATAATATTTGGTAAGTTTATCTAGCCTTTTGTGAATAGTAATTAAATATCGATTTTCTCTGATATTATTTCTTTTCTATTTGCACTAACCAAAAATTCTCTTTCTATGTGTTACTAACTTTTAAATAGCTATACTTTGATTTGCGATAGCTACTAGCAACCTTTCGGATTATCGACCTTTTCAAGGTCTAAGCCGACACGGCCAAACTACTTTGGATTCTTTTAGATTTTTTTTAGAATAGAATCGTGAGAATCATTAGAATTACTCGGAAAAAAGAACTATAATTTTCAACCTTTTTCAATGTCTGCACAGTGTTAAGTTCAATGAACTATATCATAGCATATTTATAGCCTATAAATATTTTATCAGTCTTGTTTACAGATTTCCGCGAAATGTGTTCTTATCTTATCTAATTAGATGTAATATATATTCAATATAATTACGACAATTTAATTCCTCAAGATATATACAATTATTACATCGTCAAATTTGAAATACAATTAGTAAGAGACAATTAGCCTAGGTTAATTTATTGTCTATTTCATCGCTATCTTATTTATTTACTTACTCTTTATCTTTTCATCGATTAAAGCAAGTTTAAAATTAATATGATCTTTTGGTAATTAATTTAAAGTCTATAAATACGAGCGCTTTCAATGTAAAATGCGATGTTTTCAATATCTCACAATTTCCTCTAGTAGAGAACACCAGTCTTTCATAGATCTAATTAGTGACGAATGAAACGATTTTCGAGAATTAGATAATACTCGAAATTATACCAAATAAAATTATAAATTCATTATATTTCGAGATTTACTATAGAAAATAATGCGCCGTAAACACGCCAAGATTACACAAGATGCTAACGCAGATATACACTAAAAAAATTGTGACCTGTTTATTTCGGCAGAACGAAAGATGAAGATGCAGGGGAGAGTGATAAAGCGCAGGGTAGACGCCGCGCCGTTCCTCGTCCTCACAACTGGAATTCGCCGATCATTCCAGAATTCTTCCGAATTTCAATGCTCATCTCCGTGCCTCGTCCTCGCTTAGAGTTGAACTCAGTGGACACGGCTAGCCTTTGTCTAGCATCTTACGCAGATGTCCTGTTAATTGTCCCGTTCAATACCGGGCGCAGTTTGGGTTCCAATATCTTTAAGCGGGATAGCCGACCGACGGATCTCTCTTGTAACTTTCGCGGT